CGAGAGAACCTTGAGTTCTAGGCATGTTGTAGCACAAGATAATTAGTGTGCGGACTATTTTAATTTAAATAGTGCTCTGTGAACACAAATTAGTTAGCATAAATCAGTTAAATGACGAAAAATTAGGTGTCTATTTACTTGTGACCACTCAGTGTATCTAGTTCAACTAGATCAGATCGGTGAAATTGGGGGCATATCATCTGCTGATGGCGACCCCATAAACCGCAACAAAAAAAAACAACAACAACAAAAAACTTCCGTCCAGGGGACTGGTACTCCAGCTAGTTGCTATTAAAGTAATATCCGATTAGTTCAGTTATATTCTGCCTTTTAGATTGGTACATTAACGGTAGGAGGTGCTGAATTATTCGAGTTAGTAAAGTAGTAAATAGCATTGATTATTGTATAAGGATGGCGTATAATAATACTAATAGTTTTTCCTTATTCGTTCAATTTTAGCAGTACGAAAATTATTTCATTTGTGACTAAATTATCAAAAACAAAATGGAGGGTGATGGAGTGTCGCCTGTGATAGGGAGAGGACGAGGGTTTCCCAAAGAAAGGAAAGATCTACGCCGACCCGTAACTGAATTATCAGATAAGTTTCAACAAGTTCAAGTCGGGCCTGATATCAACCAACCGTCTGTGCCTGAAATTGAAAATGTGGTATATTCCGGAGGTTCCACTTCCAGTTCTTGTTCCAGTAGCACAAGTAGTTCTGCTCGTATCACTATCCGCAACACTGTTCCTGGGAGTCGGGAAGATGTTGACAATGACAGAAGCTCTAACGTTACAGTATGCGAAGATACTGTGCAACAAGCTGCCTCTGAAGTCAGTGAAGGTAAGACAAACAGTGCACGCATAAGTTTAGAAAAAGTTCAATAGTGATACTGTTATTAATGTTAAATTTTTAGTAATGTTAACACTTTGCACCCTGGTGAGAGTCAAAATGTGCAAGACACAACCTTTTTTATTTACACAAATGCTAATAGTAATACCGTAATACAACATGGTATGTGTTTGTCAGTTTTCAACTATTTATTTTACCCTACATTACTGATTTAGCAAGAGTTCCTGGCAGAGGAGAGTAAATTAGATACAATTAAAGTAGATACAATATAAACAATACAGGGATACTGAAAACAAAACAAAACTAGAGTAGATGTGCATTTCACTGTCAGAATTTTTGCAAATGCAATATCTGAAGTATATATTCAATGATATGAAAGGCAGTTTTACCTGTGAATATAGGACCATTCATATCCTTTTGTGAAGCTCATTATACAGTTCTCCTGCCTCTAGACATCAGAACATAATTTTTGGACTTTAGACTTATTTTAGGTTATATCTGAATATTTTAGAATAGGTTGTTAGAATAAATGGAGAAGGATAGACAGCTGTGAATGGTGCTGGGAGGGTATAATTATAACATTTTGTTGTTGTATTTTGATGAAGGAAAATACTCTTGGCAAAAGTAATAATTTTATTTTTTGTTATGGTTGGGTTTTTTTATGTATAGGGAGTGACATTAATTATAAAGTTGTAGAAATGCACTTGTGGAAAAATTATCTTTTGGGACATAATTAACAATTGCATTTACTGCATGGATCAGTGTTACAATTTTTCCCCCATTTATCTGATGTTTTGCTACCTTGTTAATTTACTTCTTTGAGAATTAGGATTTGTATTGGGAGATGAATAATGAATTTGCCTGTCTGGTGGAAGGATCATCTTAGAAGCATGTGCTTTTGATTGTCAAAGAACTTCATAACACTTTCTTGTAACTCGTCAAGCTTTCAGGATTGTTGCTTATTGCTTTGTAATGATAATTTAATTTCTTACAAAGTCATGAACATTTTTGTTATGTCTTTTTGAAGTTTTTATTTCTCAGTTTGGTGTCTAGGTAGTTGGTAAGCCAGAGTGTAACCTTGTAGTTTGCATAAGATAATGCACAGCTGGTGATATATTATTTTTCCTCTGTAAGTATACTCTTCATGTCATTATAAATTTTATAATTAGACTTTCTGTGAGTACTCCTGTACAGTAATGTCCAGAGTTGATTTATCTACATGGCAGATTCTTCTGGTTATAATGAGAAAGATGTTTCTGATACAATATCTTACCTCCATTTACAAATAGCTTTTCTTGACTTATACTGCCCTCCATAGGTACAAATGTTTGCTTCCATTAACCTTGATACTCCCACCTACCCTCACATGTATTCATATGAGATATCTATATGCTATCATGCAAATAATCATGCAGCAACCTTCCACCAATAGGAGTGGAACACAACTCCTATTGTAACTAGCACCTTCTCTTCCATGCAGCCCATAACCATTCGAGATTAGGCAGTACTTACAAAATCTACATTGGAAGTGGGGAGTTCAGGTGGGAAATGTGAGAAGAGATAACTATCAGAAATAAGGAATATGTTAACGTTTGATTAAACCGTGAACAGTTGCATCTATGTATTTCTTCTATGTGGAATCTTTGTTTACCAGACTTACTGTGTGCCATTATCTACAAACTATAGAAATACTTTTAAGAAAAACATAAATTCATTTTGGTATTTAAAACTATTTAGAATTACCAAAGGGTGAAATTTGGCATGTTCAAAGTCTAAAACTGCCAAGTATAGCTCAGAATGAGGGGGATCTTTATCCGGAAATGCTGTCGAAAAACTGGTAATGAAGATAAATTTAATCTAAAACAATACATGAATAATAGAGTATATAGTAAGGCTAAATAATGTGATTATATACAACTATGTGCACAAAGTAAAAATGGATGTTTACAGTTGAAATGTGCCTTGCACTCAACATACCCCAAGGTATAAACTAAACCATGACTGAACAACATAGCTAATTTAGGAAATATTGTAGTAACATAAGTTACATAACATATAGTCCATGCACAACTTTCTTTGAGGTAAAATAAAAAAAATGAAACCCACTCTTTATTTTTCAATAAATTAATGATTATTCTTTTAAACTTGTAAAGTGTTGGCCTTCTCTGCAGCTGAATGCAACTCATTCTATAAGCCAGTCATTCAGTTAGAAAAATAAACTTTCATAAATGGAGCCAGTTTTCCAAATCATAAGCTTGTGTCCTCTCATTGTATTGTTTTCAGAATGTACATGTTGCACAAATAAAAAGAGGGGTCTTTATCCTATCAAATTCCAGAATAATCTTTGGTAAGATTACTCTTACTCTTCTTTTCTTAAAAGAACACAAGTCAAAAGGTCTAAACTTTTCTCCATATGATAACCATTCCATCCTTAGAATCATCCTAGTAGTCCTTTGTGAACTCATTCTAGTGAGTCAATATTTTGTTTTAGATAAGATCAAAATGACACACAGTATTCCAAGTGAGCTAGCTAACTAGTGATGTGCATAATAAAATAATTACCTCTTGTAATCAATGTACTTATAAATACATCCTACAATGTTATTAACTTTGTTGCAAACAACAAAGTATACTACTTTGATGGCTTGATTGACTTAACCATCATTGTGCCAAGATCCTTTTACTTTTAATCACATTATTGAGTAGGTTTCCACGTTTGTATTGAATATTTGATCTAACTTATGATGCTCCAAAAATGATGTCTTGCACTTGTATAATTAAAGACAATTTGTCAAATATTTGTTCAACTAACCAGTTGTTCCAAGGCATTCGGTAGTACAGTACCCCAACATCTGTAATCAAGCTAGAAATATACCAAAGAATTTAATCTTCAGAGTTGATATTTATTCAATAAAAGTTGTATATATTTAATTATTGTACATAAAATGTTTTATAATATCCCAAATTTTGATTGTGGTTTGATTCCAGCAAGCTCCAAGGGAAAATATATATTTTTTGTGAATTATATGAATTTTTTTTCTGAAAATAATGTGGCACTTGTAGAGGAGGAGGATGAAAATTAAAATAGTCTTGGATGAAACAGAGCCAATCTGTTCCTTGTAGTTTCAATACGAGGGTAGCTCTAGCAATTTTAAGCAATTACTGTTTCTAAACTTTGGTTGTCATAGTGTGATGTAATTGCTTATATCTCAGTAATTTCTTTGTTCTTTTCTACTGCAAAAGTCATTATGGGTTTTCAGCAGGAATGCAAATAGAGAGCAGAACAAAATGATGAAAGCTCAGTTTGGTGGTATATTGCTAGGAAAAAAAAAAGATGTTTGTGAACAATTTCTGCTACAGTCCTGTTTTTTTGTTTTAGCTTGGAGAAAGCTTGCTTTATCATTTTATTCTTTATTATAAATTATGATGTTTTAGTATGATTGGAAAATAAATGATTTTCATGGAAAAAGATGAGGTAGGCTTAGTTAAATCACTTTGACTATATCAATTTTCATTTAGCCAATTAGAGCTGGTCAAAGTATTGATTACATATGAGCACTGACTTCGTTTAATGTCTTGTAAATTATTTGATTAATCAAAATTGTGACTAATCAGTTAATGTCATGAAAATAATTAACTAAGTGAAATTGGTGTTTACAAATATTAATGTTTTCAGTTATTCCAACAACTGATTGAATAGAAATATGTTAATATGTTTGTTATGAAACACAAAGCTATATAGTTGGGGTGGGGGGTCATGATTTGAGGGGCTTGGGTTTGATTCCATTGCCACTAAACTTTCTAATCTTGACTTCTTTATTATTCCAATCCTGCTAAGGCTATCTGCTAATGTTACTAATTTTCAACTGCTGAATAGAGAGAAGGCATCTGACTTGCAGCATCCACTACCAACTCCGGCTATGTAAGTGTTAAATAAAGTGTAAATTTACTGTTTTTTTAATTTGAAAATTATATTTTGTTTTTGATTTGAAAATTATATTTTGTTTTTAATCTGTAACTTAACTAATTTTTGATGTTGTATAAGCAGGCATGGATTTAGTGGGGCCAGAACCTCTCCATTTGTTTTTAGAAATTAATGAAAAATAGGCAAATGTCTTGACATTACTATATAGTATCAAAAAGAGACATAACATAATGTTTTAGGACAACATCAAACCTATTGTTCCATCTTGGCTGTTCCATCCTCTAAACTAAATTAGAATAATTAAAAAAAAAAAAAAACGGCAGCTCCTTATCATTCATATACTTATCAAGCTTTTCTTAAACTTACTGCTTCTACACATCTGAAGGCTACCCATTCCAAAGGCCAACCACTCTGTTAGAAAAATGAAACTGTCTTAGTTGAAGATGACTTCTAC